GCCGGCCAAAGGAGACATGGAGAAGAACTGTCCTCAAAGACCTGAAGTGCAGAGATTTGACCATGGAGACAGCACCACGAGCAGCTGCAGACCGATCCAGATGAAAATCCCTTGTAGCCGCCTCAAGCACCTGATGGCGCAGAGAGGATTGAGTGAGTGAGTATGGCCTATATGATCATCAAACTTTGTCAGTTGATGCATCTTGGGTCCTCTAAGAACGTCACCTGAAAAGTAGGTCATCATGACGTACTTTCGAAATTATATGACTATATGTAAATATTTCGGGTACTAATTGACTTGGAATCATCAAACTTTATCAGTTGATGCATCTTGAGTCCTCTGAGTACATCAACTGAAAAGTAGATCACCGTGACCTACTTTTGAAATTTTACAGCTATATTTCAATTTTTCAGGTACTAATTGGCTTGGAATCATCAAACTTTTCCAGTTGATGCATCTTGGGTCCTCATAGTTCATCAACTAAATAAGAGGTCACTGTGACCTACTTTAACAAAAAAATATGCATATACAAGTATTTTAATATTTCAGGTACTAATTGGCTCGGAATCATCCAACTTTGTCAGTTGATGCATCGTGGGTCCTCGGAATAAGTCAACTGAAAAGTAGGTCACCATGACCTTCCTTTGGAATTTTATGATGATATTTTAATATTTCAGATACAAAGTGGCTTACAATCATCAAACTATCAGTCGATGGATCCTCGGAGTGTGTAAACTGAAAAGTATGTCATCATGACCTACTTTTGAAATTTTACGGCTATATTTAAATATTTGAGATATCAATTGGATATAAATCATTTACAGTACCAATTTTGACGCATCAGATGCGCATTTCGACAATTATGTATCTTCAGTGCTGCTCATGCCGAAAGGTTGGAAATCTGAAATATTTAAATTTAAAAAATTGAAGAGCTGAAAGGGGGGTGCTAAAGACTGGATGCAAATACGTCGAAGGATCAGAGCTAGCTATGCATGAGGGAGATAATCCTTAATTTTGAAATAAATTTCTAAATCTAACCACAGCAATTAAATAATTTTGAATCATCAAACTTTGTCAGTTGATGTATTTTGAATCCTCAGAGTATGTCAACTAAAAAGTAGGTGACTTACTTTTTTGAATTCCAAGGCAATATCTAAATATTTCAAATAAAAAGAGACTTAAAATCATCAAACTTTGTGAGTTGAGGCATGTCGGGGTCTCGGAGTATGTTTACCAGAAAGTAGGTCACTGTGACCTACTTTTCGAATCTCATGGCTATATCTGAATATTTAAGATAATAAAGGATAATAATATAAGATAAATTATAATAAAGATAATTTTGATTATTTTGATAATTTTGATAATTTTGATTCATTTTGAATCATCAAACTTTGTAAGTTGATTCATCTTGGATTCTCAGAGTGTTTTAACCAAATGTAGGTCATGATGACTTACTTTTAGAATTTCAAGGCTTTATCTAAATATAAAGGATACTTAGAGGCTTCAAATAGAAGTGATAGGTTGTACAAATTATCAGGAGAGCGATTCAAGTCCTTGGGCCTCTTGGTTTTTAGTAAGTGTGAAGCCGTAGCATTTTGATAACTTAATGATGAAAGGTTGTTTGTAATATGAAGGTCAAGTTCATTTATTTAGAATCCAAAACACAAAAAAATTACTTTCTTAACAATTAGAGAAGAGAGAGAGAGAGAGAGAGAAGGAGGGGGTGAAATACGACATTGTCTTCTTTATTTGAAAAGAGGGAAATAAAATGCGCCCACGAGATATACATCATATACAACTCCTTTTATTTAATAGAAACTCGTTGCTATGGCAGTTGGACGTTTTTCCGTCTCATCTCCGTCACCAGATAAGTTTAACCTCCACATCAGGAGAGCGATTCAAGTCCTTGGGCCTCTTGGTTTTTAGTAAGTGTGAAGCCGTAGCATTTTGAAAACTTAATGATGAAAGGTTGTTTGTAATATGAAGGTCAAGTTCATTTATTTAGAATCCAAAACACAAAAAACTTACTTTCTTAACAATTAGAGAAGAGAGAGAGAGGGAGAGAGAAGGAGGGGGTGAAATACGACATTGTCTTCTTTATTTGAAAAGAGGGAAATAAAATGCGCCCACGAGATATACATCATATACAACTCCTTTTATTTAATAGAAACTCGTTGCTATGGCAGTTGGACGTTTTTCCGTCTCATCTCCGTCACCATATAAGTTTAACCTCCACACTTTGTACTATGTGTACTATTCCAGTGCAGTCCCCCGTAAACTACATACATGTAAATGAAAATAAAATGAATAGTATTTTAGTGTTTAAGAAACGATGATCCTACATTTTTAGCTCACCTGAGCTGTAAACTTTTTACATTTTTAACTTCTTCTTAAGAACCACTGGGCCAATTTTAACCAAACTTGGTACATAAGATCCTTGGGTAAAGGAAAGTTTAAATTATTGAAATGAAGGGCTAAGCCCCCTTACAAGGGAAGATAATCAAAAAAGACAAAAATAGGGTTGGGTCATTAAAAAATCTTCTTCTCAAGAACCACTGGGCCAGAAAAGCTGAAACTTATTTGAAAGCATCCTGGGGTAGTGTAAATTTTAAATTGTTCAAATCATGATCCCCGAGGGTAGGGTGGGGCCACAATAGGGAGTCCAATTTTAACATTGAAATATGTAGAAAAAATCTTCTGCCCAAGAACCACTGGGTCAGAAATGCTGAAACTTATGTAGAAGCATCCTGGGGTAGTGAAGATTTTAAATTGTTCAAATTTTTACATTGAAATATATAGATTTTTTTTTTTAAATCTTCTCCTCAAGAACCAATGGGACAGAATATATGAAACTTATGTAGAAGCATCCTGGCGTAGTGTTTATTCTAATTTGTTCAAATCGTGATCCCCGGGGGTAGAGCGGGGCCACAACAGGCAATCAAATTTTTACATTGAAGTATATAGGGAAAATCGTAAAAATCTTCTCAAGAACCACTTGGCCAGAAATGCTGAAACTTATGTTGAACCTTCTTGAGGTAGTGTAGATTCTAAATTGTTCAAATCATGACCCCCGGGGTAGGGTGGGGCCACAATATATATTAATACAAGGGGAAAATCTGGTGAAGAACAGCAGGGCCAAAGTAAATCAGGTAAGCGTTGTGGCCCATGGGCCTCTTCTTGTATTTGTCAGCAGTGATTAAGAAGCCCCCGATAGATTGAAACGTTTAAAATTAATATGCTGATACATGTAAGCAGTCTTAAAGACTGATGGTTTAGAGTGCCCACCCTCCCACCACCCACCCCCATCCGATTTATTTTAAGAAAAAAGGATGAGAAGGAAAGACAGAAGAAATTAAGATTAGTGAAGTTATTGATATTCACTCAAGATTTTCTATATATTGATAATACATTTTTTTTTGAGTCAGAATGACATTTTCCGCTTTTACATGTATTTGTTTATTACTCAGGAATTCAGTATAATAAAATAAATAGTGCATGTTTGGGGTTAACAGTTGAAACTGAAAAACCTCCTCATTGGTTAATAAAGATTTTCTCTTATGATGTCAATTTCAACTGTTGCCTTCCAAAATATGCTTTATCTATTATTACAATAAGAGTGCAGAAAGTCATAAAATGTAAGACAGCAAAGTCTTAATAAGTCATAATGGTGTAGAACAGCAGGGTCGTAATAAGTCAGCAGATCAGCGTGATCATAAGTCATTAATATCAGTATGATCATAAGTCATTATCAGCATGATCATAAGTCATTAATATCAGTATGATTATAAGTCATTATCAGCATGATCGTAAGTCTTTAAAATCAGTATGATTATAAGTCATTGTCAGCATGATCATAAGTCATTAATATCACCATGATTATAAGTCATTATCAGCATGATTATAAGTCATTATCAACATGATCATAAGTCATTATCAACATGATCATAAGTCATTAATATCAGAATGATCATAAGGCATTAATATCAGCATGATCATAAGTCATAAGAGTGTAGAACAGTATGATCATAAGTCATAAGAGTGTAGAACAGCAAGGTCATGATAAGTTATAATAGTGTAAAATCAGGGACCAGCTCATAAGAGGCTTTTTTAATCAAAATTTGTCTGTCTGTTGGCGTTGATGGTTTGGTCATCCGTTTTGTAAACTTTTCACATGATTGACAGTGGTAATCTTTGATTCTTAATGACAAGGGAAAAGATAATGACCTTGACCTAAATTGCGAGATGATTGAGAAAATGTTCAAATATGTTAATATTTAAATCTTTAAGTCTTCTCAAGAAGGATTGGTCCGGAAAAGGAATTAATAATGTGTATGGTTATTCAAATCGGGGTAAGGTAGGACCTTAAAAAGGAATCAAAGGTTTACATACCGGTTTATTGGAATATGCATGTATCAGAAAAAATATTTTCTTTAAATGGCAGGGCAATGATATGTTATATGGAAGGATTAGATCAAGAAAAGATTTGGAAAGAATTGAGGACTTGTTTACTCTTTTAAAATTGGCGACTGACAGCGTAAGCGGCCTTGAATAAAGACAATAGAAACACTTGCCTTTTAGCAGAACAACTGTTTGGGCGTAATTTTAAAGGATGGCTGGTTACAATTTCTTCTACAGACATTGTATTTGTACTAAAAAAAACTATTTAAGATCAAGAAAGTAGAGTTTCTCCTCGGTTATTAGCAGGGAAAAATATTACATTCCATTTTTTATTCGTTAACATTATCAAACAAAATGATGATACTTCAGGCTTTTTAGGAAGCCAAACTTGTATAAGACTTTATACGAAAAATAGCGTCTGGTAGAACATTCGACCCGAAATGTTAAGTGCATTCATGGTTCACGTATTTACATTACAGCTTCTATAGGAATTATTGATTGTCTACATAAATATTACTATTGATTGGGTTATTTTGAAGTGAAATTTCGACAAGCATTAAAACAGTTGCGATCGATTTTTTTTCTTTTCAGTTTTTGTTCTGCACAAGTTAATGGAGGATAGATCATGGCGTTGAAATACACAGTAATTTGTTTACTTCTTTTGATGACAACTCATGATGACCGTAAGTATATTAAAATAGACGAAAATTATATCCATTTCTTTCGACGCGATATACAACCTACATTATACGCTTATCCAGGTGTAATTCGTGAGATAGACAATTTCAGTGACACATTATTTACATAGAAAAAGTACTTCATAAGAACAATAATTACTTTCTAAAATACCTTGAAAGATTATAATTATGATAATTACTATGTAATCCAAATGCGTAACTAAATCAATGAGTATTCTGTTATAGCTATCTAGGCCATTTGTTGTTACTTATGCTCAAAATAGTGCTTATCGTCATTGTTATAATGTATTATTCATATGTAATACATTCTCTGTTGATTATTTAAGTCCTAGGCTTAGGATTGTTAGGGATCGTTAGAAATTTTGCTTTATTCTTGCGGAAAGTTTTATACTTATTTTCCCCGTGATAATTGGATGGGGATATCCTAAGGGTATAATAACACCCGGGACTGCTGCCTTTATTTTGAAGCGGTTGATCCTGAGTACCAGCAACTGTAAAATGCACAACACCAAGCCTTCATAACAAACCAGAGGAAGAGTATTTTACCACCCGGGTTAATGCCTTTGTCATCCTTGGATCTCACCAGGACCAGCAAGGATTTTCTCTTCACTTGGATCCAGCCCACGGTGCTACAGGTGTGGGAAAACCTTCTTCCATTTTACCTTTTCACGTGTCCAGCTACATGGTCCGAGTGTTTCGAGTGCGGAAAACTTGGTCATCATGCTCAAATCTGTTTTTCTTTCGCGAACATACCGTTCCTCCCAAAGGATTACCTTTCCAGTGGACAATTAAAGTAATGCAAAGGAAAACAGAAAACATTTTAAAAATTCTTTTTCCCAGTTACAGCAAAACCACGATTAATCATATTTATTTGGAAGCCTCACAGCTAGTGTAGATTACAGTTCAAATAAGACCCCAGGATGTATGGTGGGACCATTTTTTTCCACTTTACGATATAAAGCGTAAAAGATTAAATATTTTGGTCTCTAAATGGCCCGTGATTATATGTAACATGATCAAAATTTTATATCGTTGAAGATTGTTAAGATGAACATTTTTCTTCAGTGATTTCTAACAAAATATTGATCGTTAGTTAAAGATTAACGTGTCTTTTCCCTTCTGTGTCCTAACTTGAGGGGTCAGCCCCTTTTTCTCCATATGAAATGAAAGGTCTCGTGAGTTTTGAAAACTCTTTGTTCAACAACTATTCAGAAGTTTCTTTTTGTTTTCGAGCTTTAAAGAATAGAACTATTTAACGGCAACTTTCAAGTCCTAAAGGGGATTGTTCTGCAAAAATCAAAAAGTTACATATTGTTTAGAACATTATTCTTAACATATGGCACGGTTAGGCTGCGGGGCCTAATTAATATGGAAAATGTTTACTGTGACATCACACGGGGATACCAATTCCCCGGAAGATCAGAAAATGAAATGATTTGCAAATTTAAACTGCATTAGAGTATTAAAATACATCAAATCTTACAACTGTAATCTTTTTGTCGCTAGTAAAATACCACACACAAGTTATGAACGAGTAGATGATCGCAATGCAACTTGTTGACATGACGACATCGTGGAAAAAGATGCGTTTTATGTGCAGCAGTGAGTGGCTGATCTTGTGATTTTTTTCACAGTTAATAGTGCATTTTATATCAACAGAATATTATTTAAAGATGTTTAATAGACGATTTGTACCAATGGGTAACCTTTGTTCAATGCTTTTATTTAATTATCATCTAGAGATTGTATTGAATTTATTCTATCGTGTTTTCATCGATGAGGCTCTTTAAATCGACTTCTTGCAAGAACATACACTAAACAGATCTTGACCATTTTTTTTTATTTTGATGTTGGATATGTGAAGTACTGCTGCTTCGATGAAATCGAAAAAGCTACTTAATAAACACGTAAAATACTTGGTAGAAGGTCCTACTTTTTTATGTATGTCTAAAATTTGCAGCCCTCCACTGGCAATGATGGCGTCCTAGTTGAGTGAAAAATTCTCGAAAGGGACATTAAGCAAACAAACAAACAATCAAAATCGGTAATAATAATAGTAATAATAATAACTAGAGCAGAGCCTAAATATGAGGGGCCAGTCACTTTTTTCTTGACACAAGTTGTTAAAAATTTTAATTTTGAACATATTTTATTCCACTTGTCTTAATAAAATATTATTAAGTGTTGTGGGTCAGAATAACCCGAATGCCAGCAAAAATCAATCACATAGTTTAAACTTAACAATTTATTTACAGTAATATATAAAAATCAAAAAGTACAAATTTACAGCAAGAATCCAAGCATACAAACAACAGAGTGTCCGTTTCTTCACACAATGTCCCAGTGAGAGTATCCTATCCCGGTCTCTTTGTACTCAAGTCTTTTTGGTACTCCACTCTCTATTTGTACGCCAGTCTTACCCATACATACAATTGACAGTATATTTATACATTAACACAAACCTAGACAATTCTAGAAATTGTAAATGCAAGGTGTTACTGGAACATTCTGGACATACACGAAATTCAAGAATGTTCTAGAAAAAAAAAACATGACCATACATGTTGACCACCCTGAAATGTCCCAGAAGTTTCTCTGTGTTACTTAATGAAACAATACAAAACACCTCACAACACTAAGTAATGAAGCAGTGTTGCAAACGTGTTTAAAATTACGGAATTCCGGATATACTTTTTTAGGGGGGGGGGCGTAAGCAAACGCCGACATTTTGTTCTCCCAGCGGTACTGAAATACATAATACTTATCTTCATATGTTGATATATCATCACTAAAAATTTCATGTTTCTGTGTCGAACCGTTTTTGAGAAAACGCTTGGCAGTCATTCTACATGACCAATTAAGAATTTGTTTGTCGCTTATAAATTTACCGTTGTAATATCTTAACTATAAATTTAAAGGTCGATTTCAACTCTAAGACTCTATATATATATATATATATATATATATAGAGAGAGAGAGAGAGAGAGAGAGAGAGAGAGTCTTAGAGTTGAAATCGACATATATATATATATAATTAAATATATATATATATATATATATATATATATATATATATATTTAATTATATATATATATATGCAGTTAAAGTTTTGATATGAACATAATGTAATGTTGAAAAACGTATTCCACTGCAAATCTTAATGTCGCTTATTTATTTACAAATTTCAAGATGAATTTTTCAGCCGTAAAATCGTTCCGAATAGATTGCAATGAATGTTAAAAAATGTCTTTTATCCCATATAAAAAGTCTAGGGGCTTCTTCATGATGAATGGCTTACCTTCATTAACCGTTCTTACAGGCAGTGTTGCTAAAAATCGGACGGAAGACCTACTCTTTCCTTTGCATGGAACTTTGCTCTAGTTAACTGTTTGCAAGTGATGATTGCCGGTGTAAGTAGAATATTGAATATTGACCCGGGTTGAAAATTGACCCTGGGTTCATCTTTCAACGTTGAATACTGAACCGAGGGTGCATTTTCTCCGTTGAAGACCAAAAGTCGTGGAATGTATATCCGGGGTCATTTTTCAACATCTTGGAAATTTATTTTTTCGGCACTAATGACATAAACGCGTTAAAAATTAACCCTGTTGAATATTGACCCCCGACTATAGCGTTTTGCCTTGTGTTCATGATTTATATGTACGTGTAACTACAAATATATTTATCAATTTCATAATTTGAATTTCTTCTAGCATGATAATAAGATCGGACTGAAATCATCCCGAAAATACAGTTGTTCAAATACACCTTATATCTTACTTTATTGTTGTCTTTGACAACAGTTACTAAAGATGAACTACGTATTGTACTAGACCCTTTTATCGCCCCTCCCCCCCCCCCCCTTCAGGTGTCTATTATGATATACAACTCCTTACTAACTGAGTTCTCCTCCAAATTTGGGACAAGATGTGGTAGAATTTTTTCCTGTATCGATTATACAGCCGTATATACTGTCATGTTGTAAGTTTTGAATTTACCGAATGGCAGTAAATACAAAATTTTCAACATTACGAAGTTGTCATGTTGTAAACTTTGTATTTACTGCCACCCGGTAAATTCAAAACTTACAACATGACAATACACATGTATATCGACAATAGAACAGCAAAAATGTACGAAAAAAAGAATAACCAGTTACACAATATTTACCTGTATGTATTTGATACCTTGAAAAATTTTAATAGATTGATTGCGATATAGATCTATAAAACAGCAGAATTCATATCCATGCACAACTTTCAAAATGAGTAGGTAAATACCTACTCATTTCAAGGACATCTAATTAGCGATCTGCAAAAAAAAAGTTGTATTTAATTTTTTTCCCGGAAATCCAACTTATACTGAAAGGTTTACTCTATAAGTTGAAATTCCTCAAAATCACGCTTCAGTCTTTAAATGGTCTTTACATTTCAGTCAACGAAAGAAAATTGGATTTCTATTTATGTTGGATTCTTATACTTCAGGAAAGTCCCTGCAAACAAAGAAACATGCAGGTTCCAGCAAATATTCTACCAATCCCTAATTTTTTTCTTTTCACAAAAATATTCACTGTTGTGAAGGAGAAATGCTTCAACCGATCCATAAAATTGTGTAAATCATATAAATTGTGGATTTTAAAATCTGACGAACTCTAACATTTTTGAGACATTTAAAATCATTTTCTTTCAAAGTCAATAACACCAAAATGCATGATTATACAACACTTTATATAGCCATTCCTTACGATAAATTAAAGATTAAGTGTTTTGATATCATAAAACACCTTCTTCAAGAAAAATGCAACTTGGGAATTTTCCTGTCTCGTGACTAGTCGACGTCATTTTGTTAAAAAAAAAAAAAAAAAAAAACAGCCTGCTTCTACAAACAAGTACTCTGAATTAGATATATGCAGTAGTTCCTCTCTCACAAGATCTATGTAGTATTCGGAGACCAAGTCTTCCAACAGGCTGTTGGAATTTTGATGGGACATAATATCCTCCTTTGTTAGCAGACCTATGTTTTTATAATCTTAAGAAGCAAACTATTCGAATACTTCTACATGAGAACAAGAAAAATCCTGCTGTGGGCTTTCACGGGGATAATATCAACGATGTTTTATCAATTTACAATAATCTTAACTCGATTTATCCCAGTGAACTCGAAATAAAAGACACCACAGAGTCCACAATATCTTTTTCATATTTGGGTGTTTAATCGAGACGATAATGGCCAACTAACAACTAAACTGCATGATAAACGAGATGGCTTCAACTTTTTCATGAACATTGAAGACAATGAACAGTAATCATGTTGAAGGGTTTAATTAAACAATACAAATTCTATTTTAAACGAGGTTGTGGAAATTCCTGTAACATCTACTTATTTGCCAGTAGCCATCCTTTGCAGAGCAAACTTTTACAACATCAGGGGTGGGATCAGATGCCATCGAGGAGTAAGCTTTCCCTGTCGGGAGGCCACACGTGTCCTTTGTCATGATCGTGTAAATGGAGAAATACGCAGTCAATTTAGTATGAAAAAATGGACCATCCATTTGTACGAAAGACGTTAGTCAACCAACCTAAGGACAGATTGTTTTGGTAAATAAAGTCACTGTATCGATCATAGAATTTGCAAACTGGTGACTCTACATGAAATCATTGATACCCTTGTATTATCAACTTATTTGTTCGTACATATAACATGCTCTTGTGTACCGAATTGCCATGGAGACACACACCTGATAAAAGTAAATATGTAGATGACAATGAGAAGTTACAATAATTTGCTTGCTTCATTTTTAGTAAAGAAGCAGTTGTTCATGATGTCAAATAGTCGGGGAATGGTTGTATAAAGTGTTGAAAAATCAACTTTTCTTATTTATTTCTGTCATTCCACTATCACCTGTTTATAGTGTTTATGTATCCAAACGTATTCGATACGCAACAGCATGATCTGAGAGGATGGGTACTGGCAAATAAGTAGATGTTACAGGAATTTCAACAACCTCGTTTAAAGTCAGCATTTCGAAAATTTTATATAGGCGTTATAATGTCATAGTTTGCTAATACAATCCATCATTGGGTAATATTTTTGCTTACCTTCTCATACCCATTGTTAGGCCATTGTTAGTACTAAAATACTCCGTCTACCTGATCAATACATAGAGATCATGGCGGGTGTGACCAATAGTGAATGCTTACTGCTATTAGGCATCTGATTCAATCTCTGAAGTTTCCAGGGGTCCGTGTTTTATATTGTGTTCACAAATTTGTATTGTTTTTGAGAATTTTGAGGTCATTCACTGTTTATTTCCACCTTTTTTTCATTTTTGTTGAAAATTACGTATACCGGTATATTTCGTAAAGAAAATTCAGTCGGTTGATCTAATCCGTAACTCAACTTATAAACTATCGTGGAAAGGGCTACTTCTTTTTCAATAATTTCCTTTCATAGAGAAAGATTGCCAAATTTCACATCTATAGTATTTTAATTAGACTATATGCCCTGTCATTTCCGATTTCATTTTATATGTTTTGGCAGTTGTAGAACATCAACATTTGTTGTATAATGAAAAGTAAACCAGAAAGGGTTGAAATTATTGAATAACGATACCCCTATAAAGGTCATGTATTTTTTTAACTTTGGAGTGAATTAGGTATGGAGAGTCTTAATAATATAAAAGGGATAAAGCTACATGAAATTGACCATTTCGAGTTGAATATATATTAATATTCATGTTTCTCTAAAGAATGAAAATATATTCGGTGAACAGCTCAGTAGAAAGAAAAATCAATTTTAGCCTTTTGGGGTGGGATGGGGTGGGGGCAATTGAACAAAAGCAAAAAGACCAAAGAAAGGTTCTTTACCTTTGTTTCCTATTGTATACTATTAAAGGAAATAGTCACCCAGTCACCAACCCTCTCCTCTCATCTGGTACCTACGGACATGGTGAAATGTAAATACATGTATATACATTATGATATATACATGAGTAAATTTTTAATCAATTAATCATAATTGTAAATGTCAATTTAATTTAGTTTTTATACTGTTGAATTTTGACCCTGTTTTATGATAAAAATTCAACGATCCGGCTCAATTTTCAACAGGTTAGGGTCTTAATTCAACGCTGATGGTCTCATAATTCAACGTTGAAAAAAGACCCTCCAGGTCAGTTTTCAACACGTTTCAAAATTCAACGTTACACCGGGTGATTATTGCATTCACCAAACACTGGCATTTTATGAAAGCATGCGTTATTCTGGTTCAAGTATTTTTAATTAAATCATTATATGATATGATATTTTCACTCCCTTATATCAAAACTAAAATAGTTCGATAATCTCATTTGTCATTTAAGAACCTTCTTCAAAGGATAAATTAACAAAAAATAAAATATTTAAATTTTACTGTAATTTCTGCATCCACTTAATCACTGATATGTGTACCGTCATGGAATACTACTTTTACCGAAAATTAAAACATAATTTGGAAGTTATTTTGAGTAGGGGTACCATGTTTACATCCAATTCCCATTGAATTTTGGCCACGCCCCATTCTTTGAAGCCCTTAAAATATACGAGCGCAAGTAGGTACATTTTTCTCCTTCTGATGGTCGCTGTATTTAATTGAAATATACCTATATGTGAAAGGATAAAATTGTACCTAACTGCGCTCAAATGTTGTGTTTAAAACGTAAAATCTGGCTGGTCTTCCCCATTATGAACAGATCGACGGAATAATTTTTCTGACGTAAGAACAAATTCACTTGACACGTCTGAATTTTGTGTCTTTTTGAACGTGTTCTATATTTGGGGAATATTTCCTTTATTTTGTGGGAAAACTCGCTTTGCCTGTGGTTGAACTCCTGACGTAGATTCGAAATCTATCTGTCGTGGCTGTAATTCCAAAGGAGTTCAACCACAGGCAAAGCGAGTTTTCCCCCAAAATAAAGGAAATATTCCCCAAATATAGTACACGTTCAAAAAGACACAAAATTCAGACGTGTCAATATGCTAATCGAGGCACCGACGTGACTCTCTAACCGACCAATCAGTTAAATGAGTTGTATTACGAGTGAGTACTACAAAATATCTAAGGAAATTTAATTCTTGGAAAAAAAGGCATTTTTTTTTCTTGTTTTCCGATAATCATTTTTTTTTATTCATTTGAGTCACAGATTAGACACGAATCTACAATTTCCGTGCTCATAATTACAAACAATTTTTTTTTTATAAATATACATTGTATAATTTCCTAGTTTTGTAAAGCGTCGTTGGACAATTGGCTAAACATATTCCCGAGAATCAGTGAATGCACGTTTCATTGTGAATTTCTCGACCCAAAACACTGAGGTTCCATACGTATTATCATGTATAAAAAGCCTTTGCTTGGCCATTAAAAGTTTGAAATGTAGTAGAGATATTGTTTAAATTGACCTGAGCCAAGTGTCTGTGATAAAATGTAAACATGTAGCAAACCAGCATGTTTTGTCGTTCAGTCATCGGATTGGACAATTAATTGTTCTCGGTAAGCGACAATGTGCGAAATAATATGGTAGATTCCTCGGACATGCATATCCCTCTATTATACCTGCCTATTCTTTTTTCATTAAAGATCCCTTTGTCATAAACCAAGTCGAATTTTGCTGTCATGGGGGTCTAAAAAAAAATCATAAATAATGCAGTAATCTTCACAATCAAAATGTGTTGGAACTATTGAAACTATTCAAAAGGCGTCGTAGTTATTCACTTTTTGTTTGAAAACTATCAAAATCGTTGTAGAATAAATATAATTCGTCGTAGAAAAAGTCCGCAGAAAGTAGTTTTGGCACATCATCCTTTCATGAATACAGTGCTGTTTCATAATCTTCATATATTTTTAAATTGTCATTAATGAAATTCTCATCTTTTAAGCCTTATATTTCTATCCCTCTGTTGGACTTTTGCCGACTGGTCAGTTTTTAGTTTTTAATGCATTAATCAAACTATCGAAACTTAAGAAGTTGTTCAAATATTGGTTCCTTCAATCTCTCCATATCTTGATTCTTTTAATAATAATAATGGATAAAGCAGTGTCAAATAAAAAAAATCATTTCTTTGCAGAAAATGGATTTGTGTTGGCATCCAAAAGTTGTGATTGTGCCTGCAATTCTGCCGGGATCACATACGACGATCTTGATCCAGTGACTCAGGAAAAAGTAAACAACATCACAAAGGAACTCAAGGTTGATACACGGAATACAAGCTCCCACACCCGTACCCTTATATCCGCTTCAGACCCAAGACCATCAGCTCAGGCAGCAGGTTTCATAGGAATCGTAATACTTTCCATTGTATTTGGATCACTCGTGTTATTAGATCTGACTCGACTTTGTTTCAAGTCGGAAATAAAGTATATTGACTGAAAGTTTTAAATCATATTTATGAAAGTACTGATGAAATAATTATGTGGCAAATAATGTTTGAAGGCATTTTTTAAATCCGGAAATTAAGAATTAAGTAAAAAAAAGATAAAATAATTTACCTTAATCTGAACTCGTGTAACACGGGAAAGACCTAAACGTATTTCACCGATTGAATTGCTAGACATGGAACATTTCAAGTACTTCAAGTATTATATCGGTACGTTGTACATGCATATCAAGAGCTTTTAATGGACGAATTGTCAGTCTTTGGTAATTTTAAATGTCAGAGATTGAATAAACAGATAATACACTCTGGTTTATAGTTAGATGTGTCAATCAACGTTAAGTTGATGTTTTATAAGTATTCAATATGTAATAAACAGAGAAAAAAAATACATTTATATTTAGTAGTGTCTGTAAAATCGTAACGTTTACCTTATTGTCATTGGTCTTTTTGCGAGTATCCCCTATTAATTGTACGGAGTAACTGATTTCCCAGATTGTATATATAAAAATGTAATAAAGCAAAATATAATAATCCCAGTTTATTACATCAGGGTAATTTTAAACAATCTTTTGAGAACACTTGCGTGAATGTACTCTTTATTATGTCAGTATTTGCCCGTTTTGAATGTAAAAAGTTATTCTGGTAACTAGGAAAATGCTTTTCTTTGGACACAAAAATAACCTCTTTTTCGTAACATTTGCAAGTTTTACCTAATTCTGTAAGTTCGATGAAATATTATCGTTAATTTTATATGGAGTGTACAAACCTACCCTTAGCATAAATAAACCCTAATTATCCTTACCATAACCCTAAACCTAACCCTAATACAACCCTTATTTCTAAATGTATCCTTTAACCCTAACCCTTTACTAATTCAAGTCTAGCTCTTACCACAAAATATTCACATTACCCTTACCATAATCTAACCCGTAAACATGAACCTAATTAAACTCAAATTAAAGATATTTCTTTCATGTGACTATTTTTTTTTTTCGTATTCCATCCCCAAATTTTTACATGCACTTTGCAAATTGCATTGAAATTTTGAGAACAGTTTAGGTTTAATTGAGAAAGATGTTTGTTATCTCCATATGTACTTACATATTGAAAGGAAAAAAAAACCGCATGACAACATAGTTTGCAAAATATTTTTGACTGTGAGACCGAAAATTATGAAAGAGACCTGTCTTGGATACTGTGCATCGATCGGTGTTAAAAACTTCTCAGCCGTCAAATGTATGAAATGTGGTAAAACACGTGCATATTGATTATGACAGGGAATAAAATGACAACAAAAATGCTGCTGTGCTCTTTCTTTTTAATTTTTCCGGCAGTTGTCAGAGAGTAACTTGAAGGGTTTCCAACCAATCGAGATGGTGACGCTGGCGCGAAACAACGTCACATCATGCAAGATAGGGCTTTTTGTCATACCACCTCTGTAATCGTTAATACTCGATGCGTTACTATTGAAACCGACAGCAATACAGTGAGCAATCATAATCGTAACATTCGCCCTAAAACTGACAGAAACCCATTGCTCTATTTTGGTCCGTAAGATCGGTAACTTTTCTTGGTATTACTCTCACTCCCTTACGTATAAAACAAACGTAATGTTTTCCTCGGGAAAATGTAACCATTGTTTGTCAAGACTTTCTTCCAAGCATTCACATTTATCAAATTAGTTGAATTCTGTAAATGCTATCCTTTTTCTTCAATCGAAAATCTGTGAGAATAACCAGACGGTAGGGTTTGAAAACTTTAGAATACTCAACAGCTCTCAACCAAAGGCATTTCCCTGCAGGAAAGGTTGAGTAATACCCTTTAAATTTATTTGAATATTTCCTATAAGGAAGATAAATGCATAAACTATACGCTCAGGAGAAACATTGATGGTAAACTAACACCTAAACTTAAGATATTATCATGATTAACGTAATGACTTCAATCAACTTCATTATTTATTAAGCATACATAATTTCCAACTGCATTATGGAATGTCGCCCGTGAATTCGATGAGTAAGAGCAGCACGTTTAATGAACAATTTCTAAAACGAGGCAGACTGCTGACGAATAAGTTTAAGAACAACAATTTTGTTTAAAGCTAACATTTCGCAAATTCTATGGTCAATGCAATAACCATATCAAATATATAATGTTGTCAACTCGAATTTTGACTATCTTTCACATACATGTAAAATGTTAGTTTAATAATAAACTTATTTTGAACACATTTTCCGTTCCTCAGATTAATACAAGGAATACGTGGCGGAGGTGAATTAATCCTTCTATATGGCCTTGAAAATCTGCATTAAAAATAATCAGAAAGAAATAAATAATATAAATATGATGAAATTCAAAATTTTAAACTTAATTAAAAACTTAGGAGCAATTATGAAATGCATAACATGTATAATATCGTTCAAGACTGCAATTTATCAAATAAATAGTAAAAAAAATCAATTGAGATCTAAGACCATGTTTCATAGTAAACAAAAATTATAATCATTATATTACCTCTTTGTGGAATCAACAGTTTTTGAACATTTTCGAGAAAGCCTTTTCCAACTACATAAATAGTATAAAGCAGTTGTTCTTTTTTTTTTTTAAATCAAAATTGTGCACAATCAGATTGTAGAAAAAATAACTTTACCCTAGTCTCGAAAAAAAAAAATTACCTAATCGTAAATAAATAGTTTTGCAGCTAAATTTGGACGTGGATTTTCTTTTTAATTACGCTGTAGTTGAATATAAACTATATATATATATATATATATATATATATATATATATATATATATATATATATATATATATATATATATATATATATATATATATATATATATATATATATATATATATATATATATATAAAATATATATAATTAAATATATATAATTTATACAAATGCAAACAGTTCATAATACTACATATTCACTGGATTTGAACCATCAGTGCGCGTGCAACGGCATTGTGACATCACAATCATACCTCAAATAACGTTCAAAACAATGGTTGCAACGGCCGGAGCCAGCGGTATATATGAGGAGGAAAATTATTAGGCAAGTTTACTACAGGATTATTTTCCAAACATTTCGATGTCTTACACACAGGGAAAGGGAAACACGAAAGTTGTAATCTGGACATCTTTTTTTTTTAAATTTGTCTACAACAGAAGTTACATGTAGCTAATGAAAATGGAATCGTCATGCAGCCTTCGGTGTCTGATTCATTCAAATCAAAGTGGTGGATTCAGGGGGGATTGGAGGGTTTCGGGAAACCCCCCCCGCCCAATCAAAAAAATTTTTTTAGAAGTGTCATTTTTAACAATATCTTTTATAAATGAGACTCTAATTGTCACTCTATCCAAGCCCATTGTTTTACACTAAGAGGTGAAATATACAGCCACCACGAGAAATCCCTTTCCGCTTGAGCGCACACAACACACAAGTAATCAACAGTACAGAGATCATGATAATCCGTGCAGCTAGTGATGACGCAAGGTCACACACTAACAAACAAACGGCACATAGCTATTACGGTGGTGTTTTGGTTTTGCTTAAGTAGTATTCTTTCATGAATTTTCTTTCTTCGTTGATTGAATGTTACTTTATTGAACTACTTGAATAAACTGTGATTATTATTATTTAGAAAAAAATTAATTAATACAATAAGGTACGTATGTTTTATAGTATAAACGTCCCTCATACAATATTTTCATGACATAACTATACTGGGAAAGTAGACCCTTCGAGACTTTAAAAGACTTTTTTTTTCAAACATTGGGCTAGGAAGTGGGTAAAAAAAAAGAATTAAAGAGTGCATTTATGTTAGAAATTATAATTAACCCCCACCCCATGAATAAGCAATAATTCCAACATTTTCCAAAAATAATTTATATTTATTCTTCAATATGAATTTGTTTATAAACTGCAAATCATTTTAACAATATAGTCAAGTAGTTGAAAAGAGTAATTAGGGTTTCTACACAGAATCCAAATTTTCTACGTGTTGGGATATTGCACATGTTGTATTTTGGTAGTCAGAGCTGAAGATGTGACAAATTGGACATGCATTTTAAAATAAAGAATAGGATATTATATATATCAAATGGCGATATTTCTAATTTTGTCAGAATTTACATTGATTTATTTATTTATTTATTTTTAGAAAAGTCTCATTTTTCATGTTTACATGGAAGTTAAGAATTAATCCCAAAATTTTAATTTTTGTTCAAATTCTTGAAAAACAAGTGGCAGAAAACTAAATTCATTCAATATAAAATGCTGTAAAAATGCATCATTAGGAGCCATTTTTAAAGAAAATTTCTCGGGGGAGGCCCCCCGAACCCCCACCTATAGGAGGGGGACACCCCCTCCCATGCCCTCCCCCTTCGGCCCTACGGGCCTCAAAACCCCCCCACAAGAACTTTTGGATCCGCCACTGAATCCTGACTATATAATAAAACAGTTACGGATTCTTTTGGTGATGAATATGGTTTTGTTATTCATCAGAAAAAATATCAATATTGACCTCGGCTTCGCCTTGGTCAATATTGATATTTTTCTGGTGAATTACAAACCATATTCTCCACCAAAAGAGTCCATAACTGTATAATATCGTCATCTTGGACTAGGGTGAAGCACTTTACTTTAGTCCGTTTCTACACAGTGGCTTAAGAATGTTTTAAATATGCAATATGATTGCAGAATTGTTCAAAGACGACAATTACTTTAGCTTAAATTTTTGTCTGAATATCCTTTACATTATCTCAAAGAATAAAGTATATTAAACCATATAATTTTATAGGTCTCCAACTATATACACACTAACGTAACTCAGATCTAAAAATGTTTAGTGTTTTGATTGCGTAACCTCGAAATTTATGTCTCAAACACTTCAAGGAAAATTGAACAAAAGGATCAACACCTCTTCTCTCAAATTGTCAAATCTAAGAAAAATCGTTGTTTAGTCTCTTGAAACAAATTATTTGTTTGATAAAGAAGTTACAATAAAAGCTCTATTTCTGTATTCTGTCAAGAAAGAACTTCGTGGGCTTGATTCTCATTGCTCTTTTTCCAAACACCTTAAACAATTAGTAGTCTTGTTTAGTTCTTATTAATTATGGACAAGAAAAAGGAAAATGTCTTTCTATAAAGACTGTAGTTTCTCGTAATTTATAAAACACAATGTTATTGGTTGTGTTGTTTTATTTGAATCATTACATTTACAACTGTTCCTTCGCCACGCGCTCGACACTTTGAAGTGAAAGTTGCGGGTACTTCGGATGAAACCTTAAAGGGAGAG